TGTAAAAGTTAACTATAACCGAATAAAAGGAGCCGGCCAAGAGGCCACCTTAACACCAAAAAAAAAAAAAAAAAGAAATTTTTATTTAACGATGCCAAATGACTTAAAATATCAAAAATAAAATAAAAAAATCCCAATAATCGCCAGTTACATAATCGTTGATACAAGTTATTAGCAACCTTATTATTGTCATGTTGAAGTTGTAAAAGAACAGCTGGTAATGTTTTAACAAAATTTTTTACAGCATCATACCAGCCAAGCCATCGTATGTCTTTTAATTTTTTTAAATGTAGCTTAGGACAATCAAGAATTTGTTGATATTCTTGAAGAATATGAACTTGTTTTGCAGAATTTTTATAATATTTGTATACGTCTCTTATAATAGTTTTGGTATTATTGAAATAATCAATTTGCTTTTGTGAATCTTTGCAAGCTAATGCTAAACAATGTGCTATACAATGATTGTAGACAATATACAGACAAATTTGTGATAATTTTTGCGCAATACCATTTTTACATCCAATCATTACAGATGCACCATCTGAAGCAAAAGCTACTAATTTGTCAATAATATTATAACTTTGAAATAGCCGAATTAATTTAGTAGTTATTGTTGTTGCATCGCTTTGATCAAGTGCTAATAATTGTAAAAAATGTGTTTTCACATTTCTAGAAATATTTGGATACATTACATATATATCAATATGCTTATTCATAGCAATATCTGTACTTTCATCGATCATAATTTCAAAAGATACAGCTTCACTAAGCTCTTTCCATATTTTGGCCTTAATTACATTAGATATAACAAATGCGAATTCACGACCAGATATTTCATTTTCATAAGTACTGTAATATCAACTTATTTGAATTGATTTTAAATTATGTTGATAGTGATATTAATAAGAGATTATATTGAAATTGATAAGACCCGGGATTTAGATTATTAACCTATGATTAAAAATAAATAAATTAAATTTAAAATAGTCATCACGTGCTAACTAGCCCTAACCCTAAAAAACTAAAATTGAGAGTAGGATAATAACCTATACTCCGGGCGTATTTTAAAGATTTTTCTTATTATAATTTTGTAAATACCTATCTATACTAAAGAAGATCTAAAAAATATTAAAAAAATTTTTTAAAAAAATTATTAAATAAATAATGCCATGTACGTACATACTAAATCCAGTTTTTTGTATTATATATATATATAGTTTTAGTACAGTAAATCCAAACCATTAAAGTATATATTATTTATGTTGTGCCTCAGATTAACGCTTGCAGCTAACGTACCTCAGATGCAGATCGTCAGATGAGATGCGTAGCAATAATAGCAATTATTATACATATTGGTATTAGGGATGGGCAAAGTAATTTATTAATTAATAATTACTTATGATTTATCCTTTATCAAATATTATGTAATTATTATATTACTATTACTTATTACATATATACATATAGATGAATCATATGGCAAATCGATTAAAAAACTTTTGAAGCTATTGTATATAACTGAAATAGACTTTAAATAATAAATTAATTAATTTGTAGCAATAAGTACCTATGATATAATAATTACCTAAACAAATATTTTATTTTATATCATTATGATATATCGAACAATTTAGAGATTTAAATAAATAAAACTTCGTTAATACTGTAAAAAAAATTGAAACTTGTTTATTATATCAAATTGGCCTTTACCAAGTCCAGATATTTAATACTTTCTTCGTACTCTTCTAGCTCAAAATTTTGCTGGTCATCTGCTTGGCCCTCTTTGGCAAGCTTTTTATCCAGTCCAAACTGATAAAAAACCAAAAGCAAAATGCATTTTTTGTAGTCCTGATAAACCTATATCAAGTACTGCAGCAGTGATGAGTTCACATGTTAAATGATATATAAAAATTCCTTTGGAAGTTCGTACATATCTTCTTGATACCTATGCAATTCAGCAAAAAAAATAGTAAGAGATTCAATTCCTATACAAGATCAACAACTTGACATTTCATTAGATAAATCAATTACACCTTCTATGTCAGCTTTGAATTGTTTAATTGCTTCTATACAAGCAAATCATTTTTTTTCACCACCACTACCAGTTGATATAAATAAATCTAATAATTTATTATTAGAAGCTATAATAGAAGGTGGAGCTCCTCTTTCTTTTGTAGAATTAAAAAAATTTAAACAGTTTGTTTATTCAATCAATACACATTATCATGTTCTAGCAAGAAAGCAACTTTCAAATAAAATTCTTGATGATGTTTATAAAAAAGTTCAAAAATCAATTTATTAATTTATTTGCAAGTCTAATTAGATTTCTATTGCAACAGACAGATGGACAAACATTCATCAAAATCATATTATAAATTTTATACTATTGGAAAAAATTGACAAATTGAGCTAGTAAAAATTAAGGATACTTTTGATAAAAGTCAAAATTCGATGGTTATTTTTAGAGATTTAGAGAATACTGTAATTCAAGTTGGCATTGAAAAAATTAATGCAATTATTACTGATAGAGCAGCTAATTATATTCATATGAAGGCAATGTTTAATCAACAATATCCAAGAATTTTATCTTTGCCATATACTGCACATGAATCAAATTTGTTAGTTGGAGATATGTTAAAACATACATATATGAAATCAACTATTAGTTTGACTGTAAAAATTATTTCTTATTTTCGAAAAAGCACTCAAGCTATTCAGTATATTCGTACTCAAACAAATAATAATATATTTTGGTTTACACTTTCTACTTTTACACGATGAAATTCTTTTTTTGTGTCTCTACAACAGATGCAAAATAATAAACAATATTTAAAAGATGCAGCATATGAAATGGGATCACGATTAGATAAATATATCGTATTAATTCTTAAAGATAATGTATTTTGGAATCATTTGCGAAATATTATTCATATATTGGGATTGTATTCACATATTCCAATTATTTTAGAATCTCAACATGCTACTCTTGCAGATGTTGTTTATTTATAGGCTCGAATGCAAATAACTGTTAATACTATTGATGATAACACTTTTCAACAATATATTAGTACACGAATTCAATATCGATGGAATCGAATATATAGCTCAGTTTTTCTTATATGTTGGTCTCTTCATCCAAAATATACACTTGCACAAGCTATTTGTCCAGAGCTTGCAACTCTTATTAAAAAAGAAGCTAGTCTTTTATTTGAATGACTCTTTCCAAATAAAGATATTAAAAAGTTTTGAATGCAATTAATTGATTGGAATAATAAGGCTTATCCTTTTAATTTTGAAGGTAATTGGGACGATTATCTTATTAAGGATCCAGTATATTTTTGGAATAATTTTCAAAGTGAAATTTCCAAATTGGCACTTTTTGCTTCTTGAATTATGAGTATACTACCAACATCAGCTGATAGTGAACGGTTTTGGTCAGTAATTTCAAACATACATATGCTACAACGGAACAGATTAACAAATGACCATGCATTTAAATTAACATGCATTCAATGACATATGGCTCAAAACGAAAATATCTCTCTCAAGCAAAAAGAAATTGATAATCTTAGTCAAATTCTTCAACAAGATATTACTATGTCTAATTCCGAGATAAGTAGAGAAAAAAGTTCATCTATTAATGTTTTATATATTAATAGTGAAACAGGTAATTCAGAAGAGAATTATGAAGATGAGTCTCAAAATTTGGAAGAATCCGGAAACTCTCAAAATTTGGAAGAATCTGAAAACTCTGAAAACCCTGAAGAAGAAATAATGAAAACAATTGAAAATATCGATATATTAGATTCTAATGATCAAAATGCATATTGTGAAGTTGTGAACGAATATAGTCAAGTTGTAAGTTATGACGAGAATGTATTAGAAAATTGGTTGCTTTTTGATAAATTAGATAATATTTGATTTAGCCATGTTTTGTTTTCGCTACGTAATAAAAATTATATTTGCTGCTAAAAATAGAAACAGCGTAAGCATCACTTATTATTACTTAATGCAAAAAATCTTGTGTAATATTTAGTAAAATTAAGTAAAAATACATAATTTTATAGCCTATCCCTAATTGGTATATATTTGTTAATATCTCCGGCTGCAGATCCAAAATTCCGTTTTGTATACATATTGCCGGAAAAAAATCAGGACATGTCATGCTACAATTTTGTGCACTGGCGGTGCTACCTCAATTATGTTACTGCTGAATATTTGATAGAGCATTTTTATTAACAATAAAATTGTGCACATTATTTATAAATAAACCGTATATATACTTGAAACTGGTAATTTAATCGCATCAAATATATTAAATAGCAAATAATATTGGTGATTATAACACATGACACAATAATCAATATTTATTCTTCAGTTTACTATAATCTGTATCAATCAATAATTGTGATGGCTGATGCTGAAGTTTGGCTGATGTTGAAGCTAAAAAATCTGATTGGTTAGGGTTAGGGTGATCTGCAAAATTTAGCCAATCAGATTTTTTAGCTTCAACATCAGCCAAACTTCAGCATCAGCCGTAACAATAATTATATATTAGTAAAATTTTCAGTATAATTAAAAATTTATTGCTTCGTTGGTGTTATGTAGAGCTTTGTTATGATTAAGTTACATTTACAGCTGTTTTCATAAACTTCTGTAGCACCTGATAAAAAAGAAACAATATTTTCTAATTCGATAAGCTTGTGTTTTCACTAATGATCAATATATGTAAAGTTGCTGGTGAAATTAATTTTGTCAAATTTCACCCATTCAACAACTATTTCACCACACTGGTTTAATTTCACCAGTATCTTTAAATAATAAAAATTATATTTGAGTAGCTAACATTTCATCGTAATCAATATCAAAATGAGGAAGTCTTCCCATAGACATCTCAACCATGATAATACCAAAACTATAAATGTCAGCTGCTGTTGTATATAGTTGTTTATTTAGAACTTCTAGCGCAACATAAGGTAAAACGCCTCTTTTAAATCAGAATCATACTCCTAATAAAGGATACGATATCACCATTAATATATTAATTTTGCAATATACTTCCGCTATGAAAATCTATTCTAAAATGTGTATTCTTATTAAATTATTAGATGTATCGACAAGCTGTTTTAATTTGCTTTTTCAGTTAAGCTCTAAAATTTAAAAATAGAAAATTGTGAAAACTTCCTCTATTTCTGTATTTGCATATTGAAATACCATCAAATATCGCTATTAATTGTGTCTTGAGCTAGTCCATACACTTCAAGATTATTATCAATTAATCTAAATTCTACGTAATTGTTAAACTTATTAAATAAAATAAATTTATAATATTAATAGTTTATTTATAAGTATACATTATTGGACAGATGACAAAAAATAACAGACAATTTTTTTTTGTCGGACTCCATGTACTGCGTAGCAGCACATGAGTGAAATTAACTCCGTTGAAAAAAAAAATTGCCTGTTGTTCAATAATGATTTTATCCGATAGTTAATATGACCATGTGAAGTTTTTTCTGATATTTTGCAAAACTGATTACGTAATTTCATACAATTCGCATGATCATATAAAATGTCGGATAATTTGTCTATATTAGATCATAAATCAATCATCTTAAAAAATTTTTGCAGAAAACACGAAGCCAAATCCCCCTTTACCAATTATTTGTTCGAATACATCTTTGTATTTCTTATCTATAATTTGAAATTCCTTAATGCAATCGTCAATATCCTTATTTTCACTTGTCCATGCTTGTGTTGTCTTCTGAGGGTCATATGATCGACACAAGCGTGAAATGTGGCTTTGCAATCAGCGCAATTTCCATATGACACATCAAATACTAACACGTACGTATGTACGTAAATACTTAACAGGTAAAAAAACTTGAGATTAGATCTTACTTTTTTTTTAATCTCTATATACGTTCTTCAACAAAACTCGCAATTAAAAATAAAAATGTCCAAAACATGTTAATTCTGCTTTCTACAAAAATGATGCATCTATACGTAGAATACGATCCCACACAGTAGTACTAATGATAATACTATATTATTATCACTAGATGCATTTTTCTGTAGATCTGAAGGCTCAACCAAACCACTATGGCGACATTTAGAAAGCACACACTGGTCGCAGTTTATTACAACAAAGGAGTATCGTAAAGAAAAAAAAGATGATGCAAAATAAACATAGTAATATTTCTGGCAAAGAGTCTTGGCTAAACTTGGATGGAAATATAAACATTATTCAAAAACTATTTACTTTGATGGTCATGAACGTGAAGACGTGGTAAAATATAGAAAATATTTTTTGCAAAAAGATAGCTAAATTACGAGACCGAATAACTACTTACGAAGGTGAAAATTTAAAACGTGCTATCTTACCAAAACTTCCTCCTAGTGTTCGTGAAATAATTCTTGTCACTCATGATAAGATTCCATTTTACACCAACGACGGTATACACAAGATTTGGGGTTCAAAGGATAAATGCAGGCTTTGTAACAAATCACAGTAACTTAGCATTCATGTTAATGAATTCATCTGTGAGTCAATTGGACGTCTCAAACTTTCAAAATATGAACGTCGCATAAACAATCTACTTCCTGAAGCTTGTGTTACTATATATCCAGGTTCAAATTGGTAATCAAATAACTGAACGCGCTATACCAATATTTGAACGAACACACTTTACAAAAGCTTCAAGTTCTTTTATTATGGTGCAAGGTTGACAACATACCGGAAAAAGAACTGGAAATACGAGTTATGCAATTTGCAAAAATATTTCTGTTAACAAAAGCTTCAAGTTCTATTATGGTGCAAGGTTGACAACATACCAGAAAAAGAACTGGAAATACGAATTGTGCAATTTGCAAAAATATTGCCGTTAACATTTAAAATATTTTAATTGGGATGGTTAGTGAACATATAATGATCCCATTAATCAAATAACCGAACGTGCTATACCAATATTTGAACGAACACACCCTAATAAAATAGCACTGGTAATTTACAAAAGCTTCAAGTTCTCCTATTATGGTGCAAGGTTGACAACATACTAGAAAAAGAAGTGGAAATACGAGTTATGCAATTTGCATAAATATTCGAATGAAGCTTCCCCGAACAAAGCTTCCCCGAACGTAGGTCCCCCGAGCGAAAGTCTCCCGAATGAAGGTCTATTAGGACCGTGTTTTTACTGTAAAGGTCCTCACTTGCTCGTGCTTTGTCCAAAAATTCCGCCCGCTGTTAACAAAAGCTTCAAGTTCTCCTATTATGGTGCAAGGTTGACAACATACCAGAAAAAGAACTGAACATAGAGTTATGCGAATATTGCCGTTAACAAAAGCTTCAAGTTCTCCTATTATGGTGCAAGGTTGACAACATACCAGAAAAAGAACTGGAAATACGAGCTATGCAATTTGCAAAAATATTGCCGTTAACATTAAAATATGTTAAATGCGATTTATGTTTGATAATAGCAGCAATCATGCTCTATTGGTCTCACGAATGAACATGGGTGATGGTACTAGGATGCCACTTCTTCGTATGATATCAAGCCACATCAGAATGAGTTAAAGATTTACTCTTTTTATATTTCTAATCTCAAAAACCTAGAAAACAATAACATAGTTTTAGAATTTTCGCATAAACTTTTGTTGTTCAAACTTTCAAAACTCTTGTTCAAACTTTCGCGTAAGCTTTTGTTCTTTAGAATGAAATAATACTTTGAAATTTCAAATAATGAGAAATTAGAAATTAAATATTGATAGTTGATTTGTCAAATGCAAGTTTTGGTGGGCAAGAAATTTCATCTAATAAGGATGTGAACTAAGTAAAACAGAAGTTATACGTGATATACTAGAATATGACAATGACAAATAATATATACTTTTCCTCTGATACAATATTTCACCGACAAGTTTATTTCACCGACAGTTCAATTTTTATCAATAGAGATGGGCGATTGTCAATACGTATGTTACTTATTATTAAGAAATCTTACCACTAAATTTTTTTACATAATGATAATAATAAATAAAAAAAAACTAGTATTTGTAAAATAAACCAGATCGGATTTTAAATTTATATCATTCTGATTCAGAATGTATTTGTGAATCGCAATAAGTAATCATGTTAGGGTTATTCGTACGCATTTTTGGAATTGGGCAAAAATTAAAAAACCCGAATTACTATTTAATTATTACATGATATATACGTCAACCATATGACGCATTTACGTCAAACCTATCTCCTTTTACGTTAAAATTCACCTCTTCTTATAAATATACTTATAGTCAAATGATTTGCCTCACGTTAAATATCTATCATAACTACGTCATAAATTTAG